GTACTCTGACATCAGTACCACCCTTCCTCTTCTTCCCATGCCCTGCACAGCAAGCAGGAGGCTCCCACAGGTAGGAAGCAGCTCCAAGGCAAAGGGCAGGAGCAGCACGGCAGTGCTGAGAGGGGCAGCTGAAGTGCCAGCACTTGATAGTCTCCCGGCCAAATCTGTCAGGATCACCTGTCAAAAGCTGCAGGATCTACCAGTAGATCCTGATTGGGTGCAGATTACTCACTGGGTTTATCTGGGGATAGCTCAATTATTTCCCTGCCATTGTGAGAGTCTCAGGCACTACAGGTACTCCTCAGTCTCTTCTATTGTTTGTCTGTGCCAGAGTATAGTTTAGCCTCCTGTAAACTTAGTAATATGGCGTAACTTTGGCTTTTGGTTTAGGGTGCTAGTGTTCTGTGATACAGGAGGTTACATGAGATTAGTGGTTTTAAAATGTATTTGATCAAGCCCCCTGCCTTGTGTCTGTAGATATTTTTTGCCCCTCATATACTGCCATCCAGCTCTGAAGGCAGCCCAGCACCAGCAATACAGAAATAAGGTGAACAGTGATATTTGTCAATTTCACTCTTCAGTTCACAGCAGACTTAATGCTCCATTGCCACCCTTAGCTCTGTGCTATTGCTGCTACCCCAGGGAGCTGACAGCCTGAGCCCTGCTGTGAGCCTCCTGGGGTAGCAGCAAGGTGGGGGATTGGCAGAAGAATGGTGAGGAAGGACAGCCTGAATCCAAATAGCAGGGCTCTGACTTTCCCCTTTACTTTTACCTCCCAGGAGTCTGCAGGGGCACCAGTTACCTGGAGCTGACAGCCAGAGCTCTTTAAAAGAAAAGAAAAGAAAAATCTCCGTTGACAGGCCTACCCCCTAGTTTGAGACCCCCCCCCCCCGAACAGATAATTTGGTGGTCCCTTCTAGTATGAAACTCTATGACTAAGGTGGAATCCTTTTATCTCCTCCAGCAGAAGAGGACCACCCCCATCCCAAATGAGTGGTGGTCCCAAATTTTCAGGTTCAATGCTACCAAAGCATAAACTGGGGCTGAGGTGTTTGCAGAACTAATCCCAGAGTCAGGCTGGAAGGCGGTGGAAGTGCTTGGGAGAGGGAGGCGTTTGCAGACAGCTTGCTTAGCATTTACCAAGCTGGGACAGAATCCTAGGGCTGGAAGAGACCTCAGGAGGTCATCACCTCCAGCCCCCTGCCCAAGGCAGGACCGATCCCAACTAAATCAACCCAGCCAGGGCTTTGTCAAGCCGAGACTTAAAACCTCTAGGGAGTCATTCCAGTGCTTCACCACCCCCCTAGTGAAATAGTTTTTCCTAGTATCCACCCTCGACCTCTCTCACTGTAACTTGAGACCATTGAACCCCAGCCTCTCGCTCTTCACTCAGCAGGCAAAGGAGGGGTGCGCTGGGCAGCGGGGGCCTTGCCACACGGTCAGCACCCCCAGCCTCTCCCCAGGAGGAGGCTGTCCCCTTGCAAGGGGCGTGGCGTGGCGCTGCGTCCTGGGCTCCACCCGGGAGAGACGCTTGAACTGCCCCCCTGGAGGCGAGAGCCGGCGGCTGCTGTCCTGAGCGAGAGCTGCTGGAGGCTGTGTGGTGACCCGGCTCCTCTCTTCCTCGCTACCGGCATGGAGCCTGGCAGCGCCCCTCAGC